TGACAATATAGAAAATAGAGAAGATATAAAAAATATGCCACTAAAAGATGATCGAAAATGTTCTTAGGGAAATCCAAATATATTGCTCTTTTAAAAATTAAATTCGCTGTAAAATTGCTTTTTTAAAATGCCTAGGTATTTAGCATTGCAGAAGGATTTATTTCAGGAATACGAAGAATGGGTTCCCAGGACAAGAATTTCAGAGAAATGGAAACATATTATATTCTGTATTTAGGAGTCCTAATAAAAGTACAGCAAAACTCGGTGTAGTTTTCAATGCGTCCTCGCAGACAAAGACTTAGAGAACTCTCTGAACTCTTTACAATATAAAGGTAGGTTTACTCAGGAAGACCATTTAAAATAATAATAAAAGTTTGTAAAAAAAAGCATATTCATGCGTTCGTAGTTGACATAGAACCGAACCAAGTTTAACTAGAGGAAATTCTTTGCAGGGAGAAAGGGAATGAACCAATTAGGGCTTATGAGCTCAAAACTATGATCTACGCTAGAGTATCTCGCTACAAGAATTTTAATGATACTATCATGAACTCTCTGAATCGTTTTACAATACCGAGGTTAGAATTAAGCCAGCTGTTTCTTTTAGCAAAATCGATAATAGAAGTGTGGAGTACCTTGCAACATAACACAGTTGATATTTACCTGTGGAGAGATTCATTGACTGTCCTTTCCCGGACATGAAAAGAGTCTTCTAAGAACTTTTGCAGCAAGCCGTATAGCAACTATTCAGGAAATACAAAAGCTGTTTCGAATAATATTTTGAAAGAGATTTCTAAGGCAATAGAAAAGTGAGCCTGCTTTGAAAATAATAGGACAATCGGACAAAGTTGTATCGTAAAAGTAGTATTTATGTTACGAAATATATATTTATAGGCTCATGGAATATTTTAGAAATCCCATAAGGCCGTTAAATGTGTTACAAACGTAATAGAGTATGGAAAAAATACATTAGAATATATTAGAAAAGCAGCAAGAATATGGAGTAAAAGTAATATTCTAACTTGAGACAGAACAGGATAATTTCAAAATTAACAGGGCTCATACGCTTTAAAGGCACATTTCTGCATCCAACAAGTAATCCGAAAAATTTGAAGAAACTGTCCTTCCCCCTTTTCACTTCATTGCTTTCTGAATTCATCCAGACAACGATGAAGGAGCCGCCTTTCCACGAAATGGGAGTGCAGCACCTTAGGAGACGAGGAGAGAATAACTCTTTATCTACCGACGGTACTTATAAGTACCACTCACTTTAAAATGACATAGAATAACCATTTTTAAGAATACTCTGACGATACTTAACTGGAGTATTCTTTTAAATCCCTTCTTCCAAAATATATGGCAGCACCGCTCTATGATGAGTATTTTAGCGGGGAAGTCGAATAGTTTTATAGCAGAAATTGCGTTTTCAAAAGATTGTCATTTTTGTTCCGAAAAAAAAGTTAATGTCAAAAGATAAATGTCTAATTTTTTTCCCGTATATTAATGAAGACCTTAGAAAACGATTTGACTATTTATTTTAAGTGAACAGTGTATATAATTGAAGCCCAGAGGCTGAGTGGTTAGAGCATCGCTCTTCCTCACCATAGGTCCGAGGTTCAAACCCCGGGCTGCGCAAGGTTGACTCAGCCTTTCATCCCTTCTGTGGGTAGATAAAATAAGTACCAAGCTTGATTGGGAACTTAGCACTGGGGGGTTTAGCCTCAGACTGACCACCTGACCGGAACATCTGCTCATGCACTTCAGAACCCCAGGTCGCGTATACTGAGCTGGGCACAGTAAGCATTGGCCCTCATGGGCTATCGCGTCACTGAGTTAAGAGTATATATATTTAATTTTACAGTTAATAAAATTAATTAATTAACTCTAACGGATTAAATTTCCCAAAGTTGAGTATTTTGTTTATGTATATCCATTAATTTTTAATGCAGTGATTTAAAAAAAATGTTGTATGTGAAAAAAACTGCGGTTAATCCTAATGTGGTAGATAACACACATTTTTCAATGAGAGGTAGCGTGAGTAAACCCAAGGTTGAAGGTTCGATCCCGGCTACAGTCGTTAGATGATCTGGATGTTGAAACCGTAGGCAAATGTGTCATAGGATAATATGCCAAAAAGTAAAAATCTCTTAAGTGTCCATTGAGTACTCTCGGTGACATTTAAAATCCGTCGACGGTTTGAATTGAATAAAGTAAAATTTGGCAGCCAGAGACGCCAATAGAGGGTGCCACCAACGAACTGGCTCTCATTCTTGGGATTTGTTGTGTCTGCAAAGGCTTATTTGCCAAAATGTGGCCTATTTTAAAAAAAAAAAAAAAATCAGTTACATTCCATCCTTATTTAAATGGGATATTAGATTCTATTGGAAAATTTGCACTTCTATTTAAGGTATGATAATTATTTAGATTTTTTTTTTAATTACAAGAGCCACATTATTATTAGAATATAAAAAATATTTATTCCTTGGATATATTGTATTGTATTAGTATTGTACAATGCATTCATTGCGAAGGAATATTTGAATATTTTCATTATCGGATCTTAAGAAAAAGTACTTTGCCGCTTTTTTTTTCAAAATTTCTACTATTAGTTCACTCTTTTCCTATATGTTCAAATGTTCAATATTTAATAAAATACTTTCTATTCATCCATTCAAGTTCAAATACATTTTTTAAAACTTGGAGTGGATGACACTTACTGTTTTTCAGTTTTTTCAAATATTAATTCATTAATTAAATTAAAAAAGGAATAAATAGTAACAAACAAAAATAATAGTCCAACAGTACATACAGAAAGGAAAATCGTTCGTTGTGTCTATGTAGTGTAATGGATGGCGCGTTGGACTTCTAATCCAAAGGTCGTGGGTTCGAATCCTACCTGGAATGACCTAATTTCTGACAATGGGATTTCTTTTTAACCATACTATTTTATTAGAATAATTAAATTTAATGAATGAATAAATAGTAACACAAACAAACAAACAAACAAAAATAGTCCAATAGTATAGAAAGGAAAATGTAAAATTACAAGGAAAATAGGTTTCTATTTTGTCCCTCTCAATATTGTGATTCTATCTCATATGTATATATGTATTTATATTAATTGTAACTATTTTAAAAAAAAGTAACGAAAATAAAAAATTTTTTTGTTGACCAAAATAGGAATAAACTATATAATGCAATTTTAAATAAAATTCCACAAAAAATCAAAATGGATGGCTTAAAATTTAAGTTGGAGATAGTTGAAACAATATGAGCCTCTCGACCTACTAACAAAAGTATTTTAACTGATGATGATGAAGACAACAGTGTTGTAATTCCACTCGCAAAAAGATCGAAGCGTTATAATCCACCTGCTATACATGTCACTGCTTTTATCCTGGCCATTCCAGGATAAAAGGCTTGACATGTATAGCCATTTTCGATGTGTTGATGACATTTCAAGGCCTCGCAAGTGTAGATATGAAAACTACGAAAGCAGTTCGAAAACATGTTGTGAAAAATGCAATGGTTATTTATACTTGCCAAAAACAAAACAAAAGATTTTTACAGTAAATAAATAATGAATTAATAAAAGAGTTAATCATACATCAATAATTTCTAAATTGAGTGACAAATTTAGTTGAATTAAGATTTTTTCTTCTATGAACTTATAGAGCTATAAATGTATAACTCATAAAATTACATAGGTGATCTGTTTCACAGATAACGCCCAATCCACACGATCGTGCGGGTACCGTCTATGTTTCAAGGGGGGGGGGGGGTGGGAATTTTTTTTTTGTATTTTTCCCAGTGTCATTGGGGTCCATATAGTATTAATAACCAGAAGAATTTAATATTTAAAGATAAAAATAATTCGCGTCTTAAAGGGATATACCGAAGGTGGTTCTGCTCTTTAAAAAAAAACAACTATCACTCGCTTCCCATGATTTTGAGTGGTGATTTTAACTTAAGCATCAGTTTGCCAAAAGCTGAGCCACCCATAACTTTTGGAATGATGAACTCAAGCACGAAATGAACACAAATCAAAATGTTTCGACTACTAACAGTAGTACTGTTATTGATGCTGTTTTTCAACGGTTTTTAAATACTTTGAAATCACAAGTATATGTGTCATATTTTAGTTATCATATGTCTATTATCTCCACTTTTCCTTAAGTGAGTGAGTGAATATTAACGTCGCACTGTTCAGCTACACGAGGGCTTTTGGCGACGGACCACGTAATTTTGAACCATGGTCAAGTGACGTGGACGACACCTGAGCTGGCACCCCACT